ATGAGAGGATTGTGGGTGGGTGTGTGTGTGTGGGGCTTTTGTAGCCATCACAATAGTAGTAGGGTGTCCCAGGGCAGTACGCAGATGCCCTGAGTGAGACAGGCAGCTGCCCAGCCCGAGGTGAGGGGTGCTGGGATACTGAAAAAAAAAAAAAAAAAAGCACTGGATTGGTGAAGGGGGGTGGATTGCATTGGGTGGGGAGGCTCCAGACCCCTACAGCCACTGCCTTCCAGAGGAGAACAGCCCCTCCCAGATGGCGTCTAGAGGGCGCTATGAAGCTTCAGTGAATTAAAGGGAGGAGAAGGGGGGCAAATAGTAATATAGGGGGTTATTTCATAGAGGGGAAGTTAATTTCATTGTGAGCCCGGCGTTCATCCATCCAGACTCAGCAGCTTGTTCTAGCGAGAGCCTGGGCAAAGCAGAGGACAGACAGTGCTGCAGTCAGCCAGAGTCTTTGTGCTGCAAAACTAGCTCAGCCCAGCAGAAATGAAAGCAGGGAGGGGAGGGGTATGGGAGAGAGTGAGCAGAGAGAGCAGAGAAAAAAAAAAGCAGAGGGAAGAGTGGAGTGCTGTATGAGGAGTGCGAGCGAATTAAAAAAGCAGAAATAGGGCTCTGGGTTTTTTTGCCTTCCAAGAAACAATTCACTGAAGCAAATGCTAAACAACACACTTTGTCAGCAGACTGAATTTTCTCAAGTACATTAATTAAAAATCACATGGAGAGGAAAGGAAAAGGGTGAGAAAGAGGAGAGAAGCAAAGAGCAGGAGAGGAGGGAGGGAGGGGGAGTGAGAGAGCAGTGCCGGGAATCTGAATAAGACATGTCCACACAGGAAGCAAAGGGCCCCAGAATAGCAACAGGAAACCGGCCCCGGACTCTGAATACAGTCAACGTCAGAGCCTCGCAAAACAAGGCTGCGCCGCACAGCGTTATGAAAGCTGATTTACTGAGAGAGAAGAAGAGAATGAGGAAGGGGAGGAGGGGGGGAGGGAGAGGGCGCAGGCGAGGGAAAATGAGAATTTAGACAGAAAGAGGAACGAGGGAAAGGCAGAGAGAAGGAGAGTTTATATGAAAAGGAAAAAGAGAAGAGAAATGCAGCAGAAAACAGTGCAAAATTGAAGGGAAAAAATGGAATGGAAGGGGGTTGGGCTGGAGTGTGGAGGAAAAAGTGGGCCGGTCTTGTCAGCCTGATTGCTCCAGAGCTATGTCGCAAAAACAAGCTTAGCTGCCGCAGAAGAGCAGAGCTGGGCTGGGCTGAGCGAGGGAACGGGGAGCGGGAGGGTGAGGCAGCCTCGGTCTATCTGCACCAGAGCTGGAAGAGCCCACGGTTTCACATCAAGAGTCTTGGCACATTTATTAGGGTCACTGGAGAGGGAAGGGGGGTCTGTTGTTGGTAGTGTTGCTAGGTAGGTGGTCCCTGCAGGTTTACCAATGCACTGCTTGGATACAAGTTTTTTTTTTTAATATGTGTTTTATGCTTTATTAAAAATGGAAATTCAAGTGCACTAGTGATTAAACTGATACAGAAAGAAGAACAGTTAAACTGTATTAAAATACAGAAGTGAAAATGAATTCTGATTATTTAAAAAGCAGTCAAGATAATGCTTGGGTGTTTAAGATAAGCCATTCCGCAATGAGTGTGCTTGAGATGGAGCAAAATGGGGTTGTGGAGCAGAAAACAAAGCAAAAGTGTGAGTGTGTGACCAACATGTGACCTTCCTCTCAAGTCTGAAGCACATCAGAAAGAGGAGCACCCAAGCATAGGGCGGGCCGTGAGGGATTAAAATCCACAGTGGAAGAGGGTATACAAAAGAACTGAGGAAGGACAAGGAGATTTTTAAAGAGAAGCAATGTGTTTAGCTGGGAGGGGAGGAGAGAGTGCTGGTGGTGGTCTTGTAAGCATTTCCATTCCCATGGGTTGACGTGAAGAGGAAGTGTCACTTCCAGGATGTTTGAAAGGCCGACAGTGACAGCACTGACTCCATTCGCTATGTGTAGCAGTGTACAGCCCAATGACAGCCATGTGGCTCTGATGGAGCTTTTACATTTACACCGGTTATTCCACTGCTATCAGAGGCTAATGGCTGTAATAGCAGAATCAAAGGACTGACTTTCACAGGTAATAAGTACATAAAAAACCTTTGATGTCCTCTTACTATCAAAGCCAATAGAGAAGCTAAACATCACAAGACAGTTTACCCATGGAGAATAGTTACTCTTTAAGGAATTCATCTAAATTAAATGTTAGCCAGCACAACAAAGTCCTTCTTCAGCATAAACCAGAATGTAATCTTATTTTATAAAGAATATAAGGATTTATTGGTTAAATCTTTGAGAATATACTCAAAGACCATAAATAAAGAAAAATAATAAATTGACCATATAAAACCTACATATACAGGAGAGGAAGAGGGCTTCAGCGGTTTGATATAACTGTCGTAAATGTTCAACTGTTTCACTGTGTCCTGGATCAAACTAAAAACAAACCAGGAACCAGCTGAACCTGCTCAGCTTGTTCCACTGTAGTGGTGTGTTCTGGGCACCTCCTCCTGCAGTGCTTATCTGCTGCGCTTTCCTTTAGCTTAGTGTTGCATGTCTACCTGCTTCTACCAGCAGACGCTGAGCCTCCTGTACACCTCTATTCCCACATCGATGGCGGGCTAACAGACACCTGGCTCAAACAGACCCATCTGTGCTCTGGCTGAGGTGTGTCTGGCTGCCTGTCTGCAAATGCTACTAAAGTAGCTAAATAACAATCAGTCCCAGCCAGGCCTGGAACAGGATTCAAAGATGGTGTCTGTTCAATTCACCACCACAACATACTAAACATCTGATTGAACATCTCTATTCAATCAAATTTAATCTCCTGCCTGTATCTACAAACCTGTTCACACCATATTGGCTTAAAGCCTCCCTGAGGTTAAGATAGCTGTATGCCAAGATTTCCACCTGTAACCTGTAACAGTATGTATATATATTATATATATTATATATATATATATATATATATATATATATATATATATATAATATACACACACACACACACACACATACATACATACATACATACACACACACACACACACACATACTTTTTTTTATGCAACCCATGTTCTAGTGTTTTTGTCATGGCTGACTTTATATATACGATATGAAATGGGCTGAGAGGATTTAAAAAAAAAAAAAAAAAAAAGAAATAGAACAAATACCATTTACTTTAGACATCTACAGTTGTGCATCCCAACATACCAAGAAATTCCAAACAGGTTTTTTTTGTATATTTTCAAGTCAGGTTCTAGTAAAATATTGGCTGAAAAAATTAAGGATGAAAATGCAATAATGAGCCAAACAATATGTCTATTTCCTGTCATACTGTTCTATAAAGCATACCTAAATCATGATTAGAGAAGGCCTGCTGGACATTTTAATGGATCGGAATCTTCAAATAAATCTTTTCTGCCACCATTCTTCAAGTGGAGTCTGATTTTTGGTAGAGAAGCACACCACTTGTTAGATTCATGCTGGCTGTCAGTGACACTCTTATCTGAACACAGTTTCATATGACTCCACGGGGTGCTGGTACAGGAGGGAACCACACCTTATTCTGATTAATGGCAGCCAATCACAAGGCACGGGTAGGGAATCCCCGAGAAGACGCAGAAGAGAATAAAAAACAAACAAGAGCCCAGGTTGAAGCGGCTCGGCCAATGGCGAGGCCACAGAGATGTATAAATAAATAAGAGAAATAAATAAAAGAGGAGGGAAGCACATCCTGAGGGCATCCCCTACTGGCACTGACAGCGCTGCCTCTCATCCCTCTCTCACGCTCAGCATCTCCCACTTGAACCAATCACTCACACTATTTCAACTTATTTGCTTGCACTCCCTCACCCCCCTCCCCTCTCTCTCTACTGCCGACTAGCTCTCTCTCTTTCATTCTCTTTCATTAATGATCTCATTTCTCACTCTCCTTCCCTGAGGCTCCGAATGAGGTTAGCTCCGTAGTCTGACCTATAAACACTGCCATGGAAACTGCAACGTGTTACACAGAGACGCCTTCTTAAAGGGGGGGGTTCTCTCACCTTTATCTTTGCCAGAGGGCAATTGGACATCAGATTTACTTTGCTTTTTCAACATTCAGTTTACCAACAGGAATGCTGCTTTCACTTTTCCCTCAAAATACCAACCTAAAGTGCCTGCGAACAATTTGCTCTCCTCTAAAAATGGGTGACTTATTAGATTGCGAAAGTTGACTGCCATAAAGAAAAGGGAAAAAAAAAAAAAAAGATCCTGAGCTTTCCTTTTTCTTTGACACTAACCTATATTTTTAAAGTCGAAGAAAAGCTGCATGAATTTCATCGGCTGAAAACATCCTTTAGTATTACTTGAGTGGTCTAACAGTTAAAGTGCATATGACAGATTTTTATGATAATTTAATTCAGACTAAATTTGATGAAATAATACCTGGCTGTTGTAAATATACATTATTGTTTAACACCAATCAAAAAGGAATTGGTGAAGAAAATAAGTTGAAATTTATTGATGACATCACAATAGGGAGAATTTGCCACAATTTACATGGAATAAACTGAAAAATTTATTCAACAAAATAAAGGTGTTTTCTTATATTTGTATTTGACAGATAATAATTTGTCTACATTGAAGGAATTTTGCTAGGTAACAGTTGTCACAATTTCCAACTCTGAAGTAAAATCTTAAACCTAAAAAAAATTGAAAGTGTCAATGTTGTTGTCAAAATCTTGAATATAATCATATATAATCTATGTAAATATAATCTATGTTTTAGTAAAATGAGTAAAATAATTTCAGTTCCACTAAAAGCACACTTTTTGCCTTTTCCCGTACAAAGAATTAAACTTTTATTGAACCTTGAATGCCATGAGTGAGAAAAATGGAATTTGTTGATTAAGCCTCACAAAAACAGAACACAAAGTCAAATCTGACTTGTGATAGAAGCTACATTGGACTGCATGCTTACTGGCAAACTGGATGGTCGACCCTGCATGCTGTCTTCTTGACTGCTCTTGTTGGAAGCAATGGGTTGGTTGGAAGGTGGGGCGCTGGATTGGGAGCTGAAGGAATCTTGAGACAGTTCCTAATCAGAGACACAGGAATAAATTCATTGTTAAAAATTTAATCAAAGGAATTTTTTTTCCAGCAATCAGGTTGGCACACACCAGATCACCGACTGGAAAAGTGGGCCATGCCTGATATGAACCGTGAATGGTATTTGAATATAGTAAGGCATGACAGTAGTGTTTGTCTACCCAACTGTGAAAACACATAAAAAGGTATTTACCAGTACTATTCAGTTTGTGCCAAATATGTCCTGAGGCTTCAGTGTATTATTTTAAATCATTTGGAAAGTTAAGCCAAGTTATTAAGCCATTGTATGAACATTGTATAACAGAGTTTTGTGGAGGTAGATTGCCTTAACATTATATTCAATAAACTGAAATATATGTGTTAGTTTGTTTAAAAGTAGAGTAAGACCAGTGTACCTGTGCAGGTGGGGGAAACCTCTGATAGGGCGACTGCTGCTGGGACTGCTGCTGGCCCTGTTGTGGTAGAGGCGGCGTTTGAGAGTAGGGGGATGGCTGACCCTGCTGCCCGTGGTTGGGAGGCTGTTGAGCCTGAGGTGGGGGTGCTCCCTGTGCCTGTGCCTGTGGCGGTCCTTGCTGCGATGGCTGCTGCTGAGGCGTTGGCTGCTGCGGTGGTTGGCCTGTCCCAGGGCCTTGTGTGTACCCGGGCTGGCCCTGAGAGCTCTGCTGGGTCTGAGCCCCAGGACCCTGCTGCTGCGATTGAGACTGCGGTGGTGGCTGCTGTGAGGGGGCGTAGGGTGGTTGACCGGGCTGGGACTGTGGTGGTTGGTTGTAAGGAGGCTGGCCTGCTGCAGGGCCGTGGGGACCTTGTGACTGTGGGTATGGAGCTGCAGGCTGCCCGTGCTGACCGGGTGGCTGGGCTGGGTGTCCCTGCTGGCCATATGGAGGACCAGAGCTGCCCTGTGTTTGACCAGGGTATGGCTGCTGAGCCCCAGGGTGAGGAGGCCCGTGCTGACCATAGTAGCCTTGGTTCTGATGACTATAACCACCTGGCCCCTGTTGTCCATATGGCATCTAGATAGGAATACAAGGACAAATATGTTCACTATTTAAAATACATATAAATTGTCAGACTGTCAAATTTGATTAATACAAATGTGTCATCATTTGTACAATTAAAAGGACTGTTCTGCAATGTCATTTAGAAAGTCTCCCACGAGTATAACTAGGGGTGGGCGATATATCGATATTTTAAATATATCGAGATAGTTTTAAAACTCGATATGAATTCTGACATATCGTATATATCGATATAATGCTTATATTCAATTTTGATTTCGCCGCTTCACTTGTTTAGCTTCTCTCTCGTCGCCCCCACCTCCCTCATTTTGTTCGCTCGTGTCTCCTTCACTCGTCACTATTGCCGTGAACGCCGAAAGTTGGTGCCAGTGAAAAGCTTCAAGCACCACGAACCTTTTCCACCATTTACAGACAAAACCATCAGCAGCAAATCCTCATATTCCACCGAGTCGCGTCCTTTGGCCCGAAAGAAGCTAAACGAGCTGAGCTGCATGAGAAGTGCGCTGTTTATGCAAATGAGCCATGCGCTTATGTTTCGTTTCTGTAAAATGTAAACACACGTGCGCAAAACTGCATTAAACACATTATTATCGCAAACGGGCTGATGTGGCTTTGGAGTCGTTATGCTTTATATGTGGTTAAGTTTATTTATGCAGAAGATTTTAATTAATAATCTGCTGCAGTGTCACTTGTACAATAGTGTTTGGAAACGTTGGGTTTGATCTGCAGTGGATTGTGGGAAACCTCAGAGCTCCTTCTGCTGGTGAGGAACATGGATCTGTTAAAATAAGTTCCTTATTCCTGAACTTCTTCTGCTAAAGGAGCTCATGGTTCTGGTTCTCGTCTGGATAACAGAGTTAATGCAAAGATGAGCTTGTGTTCAGTTGTTTTATTTATGAATGAAAAGAAGAAAATATGTTTTATTTATTTTATTTTACAGTTAAATTATTATTTATGTAATTAGTTTTTTTTGTAATCTTAAATGTTCCTATATGAACTGCCGACCTCTTCAATTAAAAAACACTTCAATAAAAAAAAAAAAAGACAGATTTGGCAGATTTGTTTTTGCAGTTTTCAGTTTTAGGGGGTTATTTTTTCTTGAACATATATCGAGATATATATCGTATATCAAGATATAGCAAAATATATCGAGATATATTTTTTGATCCATATCGCCCAGCCCTAAGTATAACCATAACACCTGAGCGTTTGGCTCTGGGCAAATGAACCTCAATGAGGCTAACAGTTCTAGAGTAAAATTTTACTCATCAGAATCATGTAGAGCGGGTTAATACGACTATTGTAATACCAACTTGAGCAGCCGGACAGCAGCAGTATCAGAGAGAAGGGCGACATTATCGCAATACCAAGTGAATTTGGGCCAGTGGAACCAGATGCGCACCTATGTTCATTTCTTATTCAGAATGCAGAAGCTAGCAGGTTCGCTATGTTCATATACAGGAGGTCTATGTATACAACATATTAGCAAACTTAAAATGAGAAGTCAAAGTAGTAAAGTTTCAGATTTAGACATGCTGTCAATCAACACAATTTAACTCAAGTTATCTCTATTGCAGGTTTCCTTTACTGCTCCCCTCTGAGGAAAATCACTTACTACAAAAACATTAGATGCACTGACAAAAACCTTGAACAAAATAAAACCCTATAAAAATAACTCAAGTCTTGGAACTGTTCACTCTCAGTGGAGCAATCAAAGCATACAGATGACGAGAGAAAGACAGGTGTTGTGCTCACACTGTAGGAGTATCTGGCTGTAAACTGAACAGTCAAGAGTGCATAAGAAAAACATCTAAGTGTTGAAATTCCGCCACGCATCACTTTAAATTACAGCCATGAAAATAAAAATTGAGTTTCGACTTCATCTCCTTGAACTTCAATATGAGCCTTTTCATATTCTACCCGACAGTGTGAGCGCAAAGCTTTTCAATACAACGTTTTCGTTTCATTACCCTCAAGGAGCGCAGAAGGAGAAAGCGCTGACCTTGTGAGGAAACACTGTAATAATAATAATGTAAGACACTATGAGAGAAAAAGCCACATGTTGCTGAGGGAGGCATTATGGCAACATAAGAACTCAAGGAAAAAAGTAGAGAGTCAGAAATTGCATTTAAAACAACATCAAGTGGCGATATTGTATGTGTCGAACAAAGATAGAAGAGTTGTTTTTCTTCACCGCATGGCACTTGGAGTCCACGGTCAGACACTAGACAGGCCTCTATGAGATAATCAAGCTACACAATGGTCGCACGAGAAAGAGCCTTCACCCGATGGGATTCTCCACATGTGCGCCACTGCTGAGAGTTCAAGTAGGGCCTCACTTTGTGCTTTGAATAAGTAGATTTGCTAAAAGGACAGGGTTTTCAATGAGACCGCACTGTAAGTAATGGTTGCCTCTGAACATAGGAAATCTAAGACTCATGGTCAGACATCCATGGATCTAGCTTTTGGTTTTTCATTTTATTTCAAGCACATACCACAAACAGCCATTTCTGAGAAGACATGAGACAAGACCGTACTGTAGATATTGATATGCCAGATCTGCGACAATAACCAGTAATAATAAATCAATAACAGAACTTTGAATGGACAAAAAAGTAAATAACAGCTGTGACCTTGTGGATTAGAAGTATCACAAACCTCTGACTATTTCCCCCCATAAAATCTTGAAACAAGTGCCACAAGCAGACCCCCATCACAAATGGGAATATCTTAGTGCTTCTCTAGGCTAAAAAGTTTGCAGTCTCTGAATAAATAGATGAAATTGCAACACAAACACTACAGATTTAAAACAACAAAATAAGTTTTGTTAAGTGAACTGACCTGTTGTCCATACGGCATACTTCTGTTCTGCATACCCATTGGGTATCTCTGTGGGCCTGGGGGTCCATAGCCTTGCCCGGGATAAGAGCCCCCTTGTTGGGGGCCAGGCCCACTGGGAGGCCCCTGTTGCTGCTGAGTGTATGGGTTTGGCCCTGTGTACGGCTGGTTCCGCATCTTCCCTACCTGGTCCATGGGGCTTGAGGGCTGGAAGGATAATAAAAAATAAAAAAAAAGGAAGATTAATCATAATCTCCAATAGAAATAGAAACTCAATATGATGAAATGAGTCATGGTGGTTAAGGAGGTAATGCTTGGGTTTTTAAGTTGCACAAATGAAATGGCAGGTCAATAATGTTTTCTGGAACCTCTTAAGTGGATTTCATTCAAAAGGCATTTATCAGTTTAAAAAAAGCATTCATCAGTTGTGAGGAAAAATTATGACTCTGCAGGCATCATTTAGAAAACATCTTATCAAGCGAAAAGAACAGAAAGCATGAGGGGGAGTGGGAAAACAGTTGTGGATTTACTTTCCTTACTAGAAAAAGGGAAAAAATTGGCTATGAATGAATGAACAAGCCCACTATATCCGCCAGGAGCCATTTCCCTGCCCAGGAGATCATTGTGCCAGTGGGTGGATACTGTTACGGCAAAGGCTTTCTATGAAAATAAGCTTAAGGAAGTGGAAGTGTCTGCGGTATCTGGACCCGAGCCCACCCGTCAGCTGGGCCTACGTCAGGATGGAGTCCCCGGGTGGAGTGCTGGGGGCTGACCTTGGCCGGCAGGGACTCCACAGATCCACGTGGCCCAGACAGACAGCCCCTTTTCTGGCTTGAGATGGAGAGATGGAGAGGGGAAAAGGAAGTATCAGGGAGGGCAGGGGTGAGGCAGAGGGGACTGTCAGCAGCAGAAGCCAAGGTCATAAAAGAGGAAAATAAGACTTGGGAGAGTGTGGTGTAATAAGATAGAAATTCCAGCATGCACGTGGATTCAGTGTGCAGAGAAAAAAAATTATGTTTTAGTCCGACTTAAGGCAAAATATGAATTTGTCTTTAAATGGCATTGCTTGAAACCTGGGATTATTGTGCAATACCGTGTTATTCATATTGACTCAATGCAATGCAAATTAGCCATGTGTAGTTAAATTAAGGAGTACTACAGCATATTATGCAAACACTATGAAGTGGAAGAATTGGGCTTCTGCTTCAATATCATGGTTTCACCTTGAAGTAAAAAATAAATAATTTTATTTATTAAAATAAGCCAATGTAAAGTGACAAGATTCTTTGACAGGAAATGGAACTTTTTTCTCATAATGAATTAGCTTGGCTGACAGTGTATTCAGAGATGTGTTGCAAATGCTGATTAAAGCAAAAATCAGAGTTGAGATCAAAGCTATGATTGTCTAATTCAAGAAGACTGTTTAACGTGAACATGTTAAACAGTAATTAAGCTCGTAATGGTGTTACACAGTGAGGAACAACTATTGCTACATTATTTCAATAATGAAAAATGAAATGATGTAGTAATGAGTATAATGCAGCTATTGCCTGATGTAATGTTAAAATCAGAAAAATGACAGGGATCACAATAAAAAGCAGCCCCTGTAATATTCTTTTTCAGGCTCATCCAGAGTTGTGACTGTTGTGTGCTCAAGTGCAGCTGGGACAGACTAAATCAAATGTGTGTCAAAATCCCTGTCAACACGTCTCATCTTTGTGTGGCATCATTATCAAACCCCGCGCAGTGCTATCTGAAAACACAGGCCACAGCGCGCGCTTTCAAGTACAACACCTCCAGCCTGTTGACCTCGGGCAGCAGACACAAAGCTTTCATTGCTTCCCACGGTTATTAATCTGTGTGTGTGTGCTTTTTTCCTCCCTCAAAACCTCTTTCCTTGGTTAAGGGAGACAACCACGGAGCTATTTATAGCAGAGCAAGAGGGAGAGGGCAGTGTGCCGAAAATGTAACAGGTCCCAGCTGCAGTGCTGTTTGAACCCGGGCCAGGGCCTGCTCTTCCTGGGCTTTAATAAAGCAGCAGGCTTTGGCACTGTCTGAATGACAGCACTGGAGTAGACGGGGGTCATGTGGAGCTGTAGGGGGCTCCACAGCCTGGCAGGGTCAGCTTTTACGCATTTTAGGCATTTTCCCAAGTTTTCCAGGACTTTGTCTGACAATGACATATGGTTGTTGTTTTTTTGTTTTTGTTTTTTTAAAATGCATGGCAATCATCTAACAATGAACTCTACTTTTAATCATACAAAACTGTTGCCAAAGACTGAATCACTTCTGAAAGGTGAAATGTAAATTTGAACAATACAACCACAACGCAGTAGGATGCACAACTTGAAAGCAGTTTTTTAGTTTCACATTCCACACAGGGGAATTAAACCTCTGTATCTGAAGTAAATCAAAATGGCCCAGGACAAATTCTGGTATGAGTGCTCTAGGCTCACAATACTAACATTTTAACTCAATTTTGATACTGAGGAATAGACATGATGCTCAATACAGATTCCAATACCTTAATAATAAAACTCTCTATTTAGACAGTAGAATGTCATTTTCAACTTTAAGTAATAGTACTTTCCACATGGCCATGTATCTGTAATCCCTCAGTCATCCAGGTAGGTTCCGTAGTGGCCCATGAGCGAATACTAGTCTATGTGGTCTTATATTTGTTCTGTGTTGTGATTGGAAAGCTAGTCTGAGCTATTTCAAGGTGCTTGGCAAACCCTGTGCTGTCAGACTGGTCAGGTTAATCCATTAGCCCAGATAACACATTCCGCTCCGTGTTTTCCCTCTAGCCTCCCTCAGGCCACAGCTCCTCATGTTCAGGACAGTAGGTGTGTGCGTTCTGCTGTTATGTTTTGTGTGGAGGAGGCTGCGCCTGGGAGGATGAGGGGGGTGCTACTACGCTCCCCGGGGTCATTACCGAGCAGACCACGGGGAAAGACGTAACAGGGCCCTGTAGAAGTCTCTCTGGTGACCTCCCGTGCACTTTTAACCTCTATCTGTGCGCCAGTAGACACAACAATGGCACAGCACACTTCCTGCCCCCCCACACCAACTCATCAGAAAGACCATAGTGACACTAGGTTGAGATGAAAGATGTCACAATATAAAAAGTTAGAAGAAGCACTACGACTTAGCAAATATTTGTGATTACCGACACATAACAAAATACAAGTGAAATCCTTATCTTTCTTTCATTCTAATCCGTTATCACTTCTCCTATATGGCCAGAGTGAAATAAAAATTGAATTATCACTATCAGTATTACACATATAAAAGATACATTTAGGTTTACTCTTTTGCATTTGAGATTGAATTGAAATGAATTTTGCCACAATTTTTTTTTTTAGTTCTTACAGTTATATTGTGACCTGAATAACCATGATCATCGATTACTGTTCTTGACAAACCTCGTTGGGACCCTAGACCAGTATGTAGATTCACACAAGCAGGTGAAGTGTCACAAATAATGCAATATTATGAATGGCATTGTTTGTTTCTATCTAGGCAAGTCAAAGTTATGTATGGTGAATGGTGTCAAGGAATTATGTACTGTATTAAATATCAGGTCACTTTCAACCATGACTCATTAGAATAAAGAACATAATGGAGATTTATAATGGATTATTTTGGGTAAGGAAATCTCACATCAAAGACTAATTAGTCATAATATAGTACTAATGTACTTCTGTATTTTCATAGTACTACTACAAAGATGATAAACAGAGGAAAATGCTATCACTTTGACACTTTGAATAGACAGATGAATTGATGCATAATAAAAGATGTTTTGTCCAATTACAGCAACAAACTCACAAATAGTCTCAAGTGGAGTAAAGGAAAGTGGGCATGTTGTTCATTTAGTGCAGCTGAACAGGACAGAAATGAGCTATAGCGCTTTCCTAATGAGCCGCTTTAGCAGTTACAGAGCCTCCAGTGTCATCCGTAAAGGTGCCGCCGAGGCCTGAAACTTCTGCTAATGCTCTCCAGTCCACCTTAAACATGACTGCATGCTAACAAACTACAACAGGAAAGACTATGTGAAAATCCATTCAAATCTTGCAGGAGAGAAAGCAAGTGCCAGGGGACATTTCTTTATATTATGCTTTTTTATCTGGTACTTAGTATTAAACCAAAACATAAGTAGATCACCATTATATATTTTGTTCACCGGTACACATGTAATAATCATTTGACCAAGATTTAAACAAGGCAACAGATTAATTGCAACTAATCAATAAATAAAAGTTGACGATGATTTCAAAAACTGAATAATCATTACAAAAACAGACAAACTATAGACATTCTCTACTAAAATAGAATCCAGCTGTCTGGCTAAAGGGTAGCCCCTCGCGGCTGGAACCCTCATTGATTTGTTTACTACCTTGTGTTGTTGAAGTCGTCCATGCCAGACTGTTACATATCCTCACACAATCTCTCTATCAGTTTGTATTCATGTTTGAAGGTCAGGGGGTGCCACAAGAGCAGATTTGCCCTTCTTTTCTGTCAAACAACAAGCACTTTTCAAGAGAAATATCAAGGCTAGACTCTTTGCTGCTCAGTTGTAAGACCTTGTGTATGAATGTCCTACTTTTTAACATTACAGTCAGGAATTTACTTAAATCATGTGCCAAACGTGAATGAAAGATTGTGTTATGTCATTATTAGAAAAAAAAGAATGGCAGAAATATATTTTTCCTTCCACGATTTAAAATAAACAAGCATTGATGCAAATATCTCAAGCCAGTAAAGAATAACAGCTGAGAATTAATGTTTGTAAATCAGAGAAATTACATGGGAGTGAAAAGTTACATTTTAGTGGATCCTTGTGCTTGATTAAAAAATGAACTAACAAGTACTTCTAAAGAAATACCTAATATTTGTATTTTAAATGTGCATTTTGATTTGTTACTAATTATTAATGTTGGGCACATTGAACAGATTTTGAGGGTGAAAACATGGTTAAAATAGCCCTTTGTGAGATATCTTACTGTAATATTAAGGATATATTAATTAATAAAGACACACAAAAGATTCCTGAAGCTAAAACAACTCAACAATTAGCGTTCTTAACATAACAATTAAATATTATTTTAAAATAGCCTTGAGTGCAAAGACTGTGATAAAAAGTAAAAACAAAGCAGATTCTCCCAATGCTGCTAAACCCCAGGCAACATGCTGTCTCTTTTTTC